GGGAGGAGGGAGAGGGTCAAGAAAATGGCATGGTTTTATCGTCCGGGGCTCTCCAAAGGGTAGAGTGATGGAAGGACTCTGGCGTATATATACTCTTTTGGAGAGTTGGATCCATCATAATGTATCCACTGTATACTAACAATAACAACCTCATTTGGCAGAGATACGTTTACGTACATCTTGTGGAATTTAGCGATTTTGCTTATGGTAGCATGTATTTGGCTCGTTAATCCAGTGCCTCCAGACTGTTGCGAACAGGTTACTAGTATGGGATCATACAAAAGCCCGTTGGTCTCATGTAACTATCCAACGCGTCACTTGTATCGAAAAGGCGAGCGAGTGCGGGAGAGGAGAGGGAAAAGCTCGAAGGATAGAGCTACATAAGGAACAAGAAACTTGTATCGAAAAGGCGGGAGAGGCCGGACGGATCACAGGGTTAGGGGTGACATTCTCCAGCCAACGATATCTATCTACACCCAGTCAAGATCCCCCTTGATCTATCGGGTGACGTTCTCCCATCCATTGGTCGCCTCGCTAGTAAACGGTGTTCGACCTTACGCTCGTCTCATTCTGGACTCAAATGTTGGTTCTTATGTCCCACCTTGTGATTTAAGACTCCGCCCAGTCGAATGAGAGAAAACATTGGCGGGTCAAGAGGACCCAAGTAATGAATTTGAATGCACATGTTCACTGAATTCCGAACCTGGTAGCATTGGTTGCCGGATATCATCTTTGCTAGTTGCCAGCTTTGCCACAAATGGCAGGCTCTATGTATTCAGTACCTTCAATGGAAGGTGCGCTCGCAAATGCGATGAAATAGGTTCTTCATAAATTCGGAACCGGGGTTCCCGGCACGGTGACAATCCGAAAGGCGATAGGGGGCTGGAGGACTGAGGAATTGCAACCAATGATCTTTGCATGCAGTTTCTTACTCTTAAGTCTGACTCATACAACCATTCGACTGGTTTGTACTATATAGACCATAGCAGCCTTCTGGTTGGTCTATATTCCTAAATAAAACAGTATATATACCAGGGCCCTTCGCGACCCTGGTTCTTTCAGAGGCCCGGGTTTCCCAAACAAAACCATCTTTCTGATCCCCTCTCCCTCCTCTCTTCAATCAAAACCACCGAACCCTAAAAATAATACATGGGCTCCCCCCCCAGGGGGAAGAAGAGCCTGTCACAGGCTCTGGTCAGTGCCAGTGTCCATGTTCTAACAGTTTCTAACATATATCATCCATTTCTCTGAGATCCTAATCACGTTATCTACTTTGAACGGAAGATATATGTTAGTTAACCGTGCTATAATCCGAGCTGCAAACCAGACTCATCATCTGTGTAAACATTTGATGGGTACCCCGTTCACTTAATCCCTTCTTGGAAATTAATTTAAACCCTGAAACCTATGTATATGTCAGATTCTACTTTGATAAGAACTGTTGAACCACAATGCTTACCGACTTTTGCGAACGGATTACCAGTACACGGATATGTAGCCATTTGCTCCCATATAGTTATCTAATACGCTATTTATTACAAATTGTCTCAAAAAAGACGAATGTCAGTTATGAAATAGAGGCCGGCGGGTCACAGGGCTGGGGGAGACATTCTTCAGCCACGGTATCTATCACCGCCCAGTCAAGATTTTCTCAAGACCGATCTGGTAGTATAAATTGGGGTGCTTTTTATTTGATTTCCTGTACGTGTATCAGAGCAAGCAGGGCCGGAGACTGCCAGAAGGCGGCAACGCTGTTTGATTGTGGAATAATAGGCGCTCAGAAAGGTCTGCAGCCGTTCATTTATGCAGCCTCCAAAGGTCACGAAGACAGTATCTTCGTAGTAGATTTCATAATCAGTGATTGCTGTGTGAGTTGAAATTACTGCGTGGACGTTGTCGAACGCGTATATAAAGTCCATGAGACTGATTCTGCTTGATATCGTAGGGATCCTTTCGACATTTTCACTGAGCTCAATGTCCTCTCATTGATTACCTCAAGTTCTTCGGACAGTGAGGGACAGAGCTATTGACATCCAGGAAGGCGTCAAGCGTTGGTATCTCTAACAAGACTCTTACAGTTCAGTCGCAACCTTAAACTAACCTTGTTCATAGATTCGTTGTCCTCGTCAAGTATCCATCACTCTCGGACGACTTATTGGGAAACCAGGTCGGATAGTCCCTCCCCCCTTTCCTAAGAATAATAATATGTCCTTCCAATCTGGAATAAAATGAATGCCCTATTTTTAGTGGGTTGCGAACTATATACTCCACTAGAATCCATTGTAACAGTCTATCGACCCTCTACGTTGAGGAGGGATTGAATCCCTGACTAGATCATCGTCTACAGGCAAGAAAATTTGCATATTTAATATGAAGAAGCAGGTGCTTTACTCTCTGTTTCTCATACTCTTCTATCCTTCCTCGCATCTTCTAGTTACTTCAATGTGATACCCCTGGCTGTTGAAAGTTATATTTATACCGAGAAATCCCATCTATCAACCATGGTTAGCTATCTCCTCAATGTCGCCAGTTAGGACGGTGGGTCAAGAGATGCCCATAACATACGTACTGCGTGTCATTATCAAGTAAACCTCCTCCGATTGAGACTCAGAGAAGCAGCTAGGGGTTTAGGCGTGGGTGTTGGCTCCGGCCGGTATATACGGATAGAAGCACACCAGAGCTCAGCTTCATCCACCGAGTATCTAGCTACCGTAGCTATAACGATATCCCAGTTGAAAGAAGTTTTACAACAATGTCTCAGATCCCCACTATTGAGGAAATCAAACAGGCGGCAGAGATTATCAAAGACTATGTGCACAAGACTCCAGTGATAACGAGCTCTACCTTGGATTCATTTGCTACAAACACACTAGGACGCGAAACTAGACTTGTATTCAAGTGCGAAAACTTTCAGAAAGTTGGGGGTCAGTGACCTCTAGGCCTTACCGTACCTACACTGATACACCCACCATACTTTCGATATAGCCTTCAAGATACGGGGCGCCACTCATGCTGTCAGACGACTCCTAGAGACCGTAATAGATCCATCTATGCTGACTGTCGTCACACATTCCTCTGGTAATCATGCTCAAGCCCTAGCGCTTGCTGCACGACAACTGGGCGTCCAATGCCAAGTCGTTATGCCCTCCAACGCGCCACTAGTGAAGAAAGAAGCCGTAAAAGGGTACGGGGCCATCGTCACAGAGTGCATTCCCACCCTCTAAGCGCGAGAGTCCACCGTCCAAGAGATCATCCAGCGATTGGAGAAAGAGGCAGCTCAAGCCGGCAAGCAGAGTATAGTTCGGTTGGTACCACCGTATGACCACCTCGACATTGTACGGGGACAGGGTACCATTTCGTTGGAACTCCTGAACCAGGCCGAGGAGTTGAATCGACCTCTCGATATTGTCATTGCCCCCGTGGGTGGCGGCGGAATGCTGAGCGGAGTCTCACTAGCTGCCAAGAATCTATCCAAAGACATACTCGTGTTTGGAGCCGAACCGACAGGTGCGAGCGATGCCCAGCAGTCATTTCGCAGCAAGACTTTCCACCCTTCGGTGCAACCCAAGACGATAGCAGATGGACTCTT